CCAGCGGGACAGGAGGCTCAGTGGGGGAGCTCCTGAGGTGCCGTGGCTGTGGTCCCATCCAGACAAGCACGCTGCCATCCCAAGAATGCGGAGCTGAAGCAGGGCCCGAGATAAGGCTGTGCACACAGCCGGGCTGTTATCTGCCTCAAGGCTACGGTCTTTTCCCGCTTGGATTCCTTACTCCTTGCAAGTAGTTCCCTGCCAGTTGTTCCAGCCTTCAGACCGTTTCTATCTCTCTGTCCTCCAAACCTTTAGCCAATTATCCTTTCGGCCGACTCATTCCCTGCCTGCCTCCTCGCCTTCTCCCCCGCTCGCCTTCTCTGCTGCAGCTCAGCTACCCCAGTCCCAGTCCCAATCCCTTCCCACCTATCCCTTCTTGGAAAAACAACCCTTGGCGTGACTCACTGCCACTGGGGACTAAGCAAGTGCCAGCCCAGGGTAACACATGCCCAGAGGCATTCTAATCCTTAAAGCCACCAGCTATTGTCTGCTGGAGACCAGGGGTTTCAGCAGGCTGAGGCCAGCTCCAGAGCAATGTGTGTCCTGGGCTGGCTCTGTTAAAGTGTACAGAAGTCAAAGCCTGACCCCAGACAGATCAGGGAGTGGGCACTGCAGCTTGGCTGAGCCAGGGAGGGCAAAGCTGTCCCAGCCCAGTGCTGCAGGGTGCGTCCCTGCCAGCTGGGACAGCAGCCCAGCTGCCCCCATGGCACGAGCTTTCCTATCTGCTTGCAAGATCAAAGCTTAAAGCTCCACGGTTCTGCCTGCAGTACATGACAGAAGGACTTAAAACCAACTTCTCCGAAGGCAACACCTCCATCTCCCAAGCCTCAGAGCTCTTCCACAACTCATGAGGGGCCCTACACCCTCACAGTTATCAACCACCTCCAGACAGTCGCAGGTCATCAGCAGTGCTCGGGCCAGAGGAAAAGCCATCCAAGCCAAGATGAGGAAAACAGCAGACTTACCCCAACATCCCTGGGCCACAGCCAAGGCAAAAAGCAGCCCCATGAGCGGTCCCAGGGTCTTGAGCCACTTTATGGAAGCAGGCCAGGGATCACCATCCTCACCAGGCAGGGCAGAGGGTGCAAACACAGGAAAGAAGCAGCAGAGACAAACGTAGAAACCAGCCCTTAGTGCTGCTGCTGCCCTATCTGCAGAGCAACGTGTGAGCTCTTGCCCCTCATCATTGGGTGCAGCGATGCAACACACCTGGGCACCTCTCCCGCCCGGACGGCAGCATTGCCAT